TTTTACTAAGCAGTCTTTTCAGATTTAGACATGAAACCACATAAACAAGACCCAGAGCCATAATTAGGTGCAGAGCTCCATCACAGCACCAAATATGTTGATCTCTTGTGATGGGAAGGACTCGTCTTCTCTGTGGTGCAGGATAGGCCTTCCACCAAGGTGCTCACTCCCTCCTTAAGGAGCAGGAGCCATGCATTATTTCTGGAGCCGAGCAAAGCATACGTAGATAAAAGATTTTATATTAGAAAACGTATGGCAAACAATTGCAGAGCTCGGGTCATCGGGACACCTGCCTCCTGTGCGGGCTTGCGTGCTTGCTACCGGGGCACAGGTTTTGCTTGGCGTTGCAGGGAGGCGGTGGCAGAGTGGAAGGGCCGATGCGGAGCGAAGCGGAGCCCCCGCGCGGAGCGGCGCAGCGCTGCCGGCCGCCGGCACAGCCCCGGCCCGGGGTCGCGCTCGGGCGCGGGGCCGGGGGCGCGCTGGAGGTGCTCGGAGCACCACGGGGCTTCTCTGCAGGGAAAATAAAAAGCAGCCCCCGGGATAGGAGGCCTCTAGGGGTTTTGACTGAGTCACCGCATCGCAGCTAGAGATTGAGGTTTAAAAACTAAATAAGAATAATAATAAAAAAAATCATTGTGGTCATTCTGACGATGAAAAGGCTTCGCTGAATGATTCCGAGAAACCTTTCTTCTCTTTTCCAGAGCTTGCAGACGCAGCGAGCGGCAGAGCGTCGGGTAGGAGCACACCCGTAGGAAGTCTCCGTGTGTCCGGAGGGGCCGTGTGCCCACCCTGCACGCCCCCAGCCCCAACCTCGGCTCTGGCTGAGCGATAAAAAAAAGGGGGGGGCTGCCTACGGCGGAACCCCCGAAGGAATCCGTGCCAAAGCAAGCGGGGAGCGGCCAGGCACCCCCCTACACCCACACCCACGAGTGTCAGGGGTGGACACGGCGTGGTACACGGCCTGAAGGGACAGGGATCGGGACAGGGACGGGGACGGGGATGGGGACGGGCGGGGAATCGTGCCCTCCGGTGGCCGCCGGCCGCACAGCCCCGCTGGCTGCGCCCACCCTGCCGGGCCCAGGTAGCCAGGCTGCAGGCACGGCCCCGGGGCGGGCGGCTGCCCCGGTCAGGGACAGGGGGGTGGATGGAGGAAGGAGCCGAAAAGCCAGTCCCGCTCTGCAGGGCTTTGGGTTCTTCCTGCCCCTGTGCTGCTCTCGGCACAAGTCGGTGGCAGGGCACGGGGAGAGCTCCCAGGTCATTCACTCGGTCACACTGCAGCATGGAGAGTTGCTGGGTGCTCTCTTGTTCCTTCTGAAGGGACTGAGTCTCAACCAGCCTTTCACCTAGCATCTGTAGGAATTAAAATCCTTGGCCGTGGAAATTAGTGGGGAAACTGCACTTTAGTGGGCTTTGAGACAGCTCCTGAAGAGGTTCCATGACTATGCAGCCAGGCAGCCTGTCCTGAGCACATACACATAACAGTTAAATTGCTGAATAACCTGGGAAGCCCCCACCAGTGCAAGATCATGGTATTTTGCCATAGTGAACAGAGCTAAATTACAACATGTGTAATTCAGGCCATGTGCCTAACACTGAACAGCCTGTTGCAACCCAGTTGCAATTTGCACGCATGCAACGTAACACACATTGTGCTTGTAACCACCACACATACTTCTTAAACTATGCATACATAAGTTCTTAAACTTCCCCATTGATTTATAATCAGGCAAACAGAATAAGAGCTTTTATTCATTCTTATTCAAAAATCAAAGAAAGACACAAACTGATGGCCCGCTCCCCTTGAAAGCAAAGATGTTTCTGCTTGGCTGGGGCAGGGTTTGCTCATCCCAGACTGAGAATATCCCAGCAGCTGATGGCTCCTACACAAGCATAGAGATATTGTCGGGGAAAGCTATCCAAGTGTCTCCCTATGATCAGCCATGCAAACTTCACTTCCAAAGACAGATGATCAAGACCACAAGGAGCATCAAATCCTAGCTCATTCAGTCCCTTTGCTAAGGCCATTCCTCATTGCACGTTCCTAGGAGCTTGTCCTTTATTCAGCTTTGTGTTCACACCACAGCTGTAATCTGGGATATTGTAGTTACTGTACGTTACTGCACTGGTAACAAAATGTTTTCTGTGTTTCTTCATGTCCTGACTGTGTCCTGTGTAAGGGCTGATCCAACAGCACACATTTTCCTGATCCAGGGAGGCCTGCACAGATGGGCAGACGCTGTCCTAGAAGGGCCCTGGAAAAGTTCTGGAGTTGCTTGCAGTTTTGCTTGCCACCTCCAAAGAGCGAAGCAGGGTGCCTGCCCAGGGTGCCAGGTGAGTCCTCACATCGCTCACATGCCACAAGACATGCCTCTGCATAGCAGAGAACAGGACATGCCACCCTCACCCCATGCTCCAGAGCAGACTGTTGGTCAACCTTAATGGCTTTTGGAGGTTCAAAGCAGATAGTTTAGCAGCTGTTTAAATACACAACATTTACTATTTTAATGCAGAATACATAATGCCCAACCCCATCCCCACCAGAAGCTGTGCATTTCAAATTAAACCAGAGCTGAAATGGCTTTCTTTAAGCAATGTACAGTCCCAGCTCCCCTTCCCTCCCGACACACGGGTATGCATGCACGCTGCAACAGACCAGCTGTATGTGCACACACCCCCACAAATGCACTTAAACACACACAGATCCTTGGTGTATTCTTCTAACCAGTGCTGATTGCTTTTGCTGCAGTTGCAGTTAAGAGTAACTGACCCTAAACTCTACCATCTGCCATGCTCATCTCCTCTCCTTCCAACAACAGCTGCCCTCTGTACCCCATGTGCATTTTCTGTGTTTTCTTGCCTTCCAATGTGGAAAAATAGAGTTTGTTTAGGCTTCTCATGTATCGTTCTCCTCCATCTTTCCTTTCCTCTTCTGCACACCCTTCCTCTGGCCAGTTGGGTAGCAGGTGGTGTCCTGCGTCCCACTCAAAGCTCAGCTGACCCAGCAAACCCTCAGGAGACACTATTCTCCTTTCAGGCAAGGGATTTCTAAGTGATTTCTTCCACCAGTTTTGCCAATGTGGGGCTTCACTGCCCAGGCATGGCCTCAGCATCCTGTTCCCTGCAAGCTAACAGGTACCTGGATGTGGATTTGCACTGATGTTTTTTTTCCTGTAAGAAGAAAGGGAGAGAGAGAGAGAGAGAGAGAGAGAGGAAGGAAGGAAGGAAGAAAGGAAGGAAGGAAGGGAACTCCAGAGCTGCCTGTGGACTGCTCACCTTTGTTCTGTGATGCCACCATTCAACATCCTGGAGAAGCACCAGGGCTCTGGCCACAGAAAAAAAATGTAGTGACAGGGAGGTGGAGGAGAGGCAGCTCTTTTACCTTGTGGGGGGCAGGTATTGCCAGCAAAAGGGAATCCCCGGAGCTTCCCAGACAGGCTGTGGTGTCCAGGTGATGGCAGAGGCCTGTTGGTCACAGCACCCACGCCAAGGACAAGCCCAGCCTCGGGGAATTTGTGCCCACTCTGCGGCTCTGCATGCTGCTGTGCCTGCCCTCCACGCTGTTTTTCCTCCTATTTCCCTACAGAGCAGGGTTAGGGCAGGCCGCTATGTGCTCGCTTCTCCGACTGGAAGAGCGGTGCAGGAAAGCCGCCCTCCGGGCAGCGGGGAGGCAGCCCCTGACTGCTCCGGGTGGAGCCGGGCGCTGAAGTGCGGAGCGGGAGGGGACCGGGGCCATCTCCTGGGCATGAGCCGGGCCAAGCCGGAGCCGCAGCCCCTCGGCGGCTCCTGCTCCGTGGTCCTCGCAGCGCCAGGGGGGCTCCGGAGGTACCTGCCCCTAGCAGACAGCTCTTTCCCCCTCTGATCAGATGCCAGCACTTTTCAAGAAGCCTCGTCTTTTTCTCAGTTTTTTCATCCCTGGGATTTCCCCCGCTGTTATTTTGTTCGCCCTCTCTTCCCTCCCACCCCAAAGGTACTGCCCGCTGACCCCACGCCGGGGCTGCCCGGAGGAGCGGTGGCTGCAGGGCTGGTGCCGCAGGCGTGAGGTGCCCCGGGAGGGAGCAGCAGAAGTGCATCGCCCCTTTTATTGACGGCTGGCAATTTCTGGCTTTCTCTTCCAGGCTTCCCCCGTTTGAATCTGAGCTGCTGTTAAAAAGACACACCACCTGCTCGGGGCTGCCAGCGAGCGGGGACGGAGGCACAAAGGCGGGGGATGGGAAGAAACAGCTTTGGCTACAAACACAGAAGATAATTAAAAATAAATAAGCTCGGTTCCCAGGAAGTGCCGGCCTCTGGTGCCTTCAGGGAGGGCAAACTGAAACGTGCGGCCAGCGGGCACCGAGGGCGGGCAGAGAGACTCTGCACACCCTCCTTCCCGCCTGCCGTGCCCGGCTGGGGCTGCAGGGATGCGGATCCTCCCGGCTTTCTCTTTAAAGACGAGCTCGAGGACTAAGGCGTATGCACGAAGCCAGTGCTCAGTTCCCCCGCTGCTTCCACCTCTGAAGATGGCTTTATCCGAGCGCAGTCCTACCGCTTGCCAGGACCAGGCTGTCCCATTCCCTCTCCCCAGCCCAAAAACGTGAGGCTGCCTCAGATAGCCGGACCCCGGGTGGGCTCGGAGCCGGGAGCGCGGGGTGTGCGAGAGGGGGGCAGGATTAGGATGTGTCTGGATGCTTCCCCTTCCTCCCTCTCGCTGCAAGCCGTGCCCGCTGCAGGGGAGGAAGTCCGAGAGATGCGGGCAGCCCCCGGCCTCCCCGGGGCAGCCGCCCCCTCGGCAGCCCCCGCCACGATGTGCACGGGTACCCCCTTATCCCCCCCACCCCAACACGGCCTCAGCACCCCCCCAAAAACCCGAGTGCGAACCAAGGGAGCCGGAGGGAGAAACCGCGGAGAGGGAAGCCGAGAATGGGGCTAGGGGTAAGGATGGATGTGTGTCGCGGGGGGGGTAGGGTGTGGGGGGGGTGAGGCCAGATCACTTGTGAATGGCTTGAAAAAAAATAATTGGGGGAGGGCGGGGGAGGGGGGGAAGCGGAAACTTTCCTATAAAACTCAGCAAAAGTCCCTCCTCTCCACGTCAGGCCAATGACACTGCTGCCCCCAAACTTTCCGCCAGCAGGAGCTATAAGAACCTCCAAGTCTTCAACTTTCTCCCAATCCCAGACACCTCGAAGGGGCTCCAAGGAGGGATCGGGAGGGATTTTTTGATTTTTTTTTTTTAATTTTTTGGTTGGCGTGCGTGTTATTTTTTTTTTCTCCTCTTGGATCCCGATGCCATCCCCCCTCCCCCCAAAGTGAGGTCCTCCCTCCCTCCCTCCCTCCTCCTCCTTCTCCTCGCAGGCCAGCGAAGCAGCCGACCAAGGGGGAGCTGGCGGGTTAGGTGCCCCCCTCTCCTCCCTGCCCTCCCCCCCCTTCCCGGCCCGCTTCTCGCGTCTCCCCCCCAGAGATGATGCAGCAGGACGAGTCGAACTCGCCAGTCTCCCCCGCCGACGACAGCTTGAGCAACAGCGAAGAGGAGCCGGACCGGCAGCAGCTGCCCAACGCCAAGAGAGGGGGGCGCAAGCGGCGCTCCAGCCGCCGCAGCGCCGTCGGGGCCGCGGACGAGCCGTGCAGCCCGGCGCAAGGCAAGCGGGGCAAGAAGTGCGGGGCAGCCGGGGGCGGCGGGGGCGGCGGCGGCAGCAGCAGCGGCGGCGGCAGCCCCCAGTCGTACGAGGAGCTGCAGACCCAGCGGGTCATGGCCAACGTGCGGGAGCGGCAGCGCACGCAGTCGCTGAACGAGGCGTTCGCCGCCCTGCGGAAGATCATCCCCACGCTGCCCTCGGACAAGCTGAGCAAGATCCAGACCCTCAAGCTGGCGGCCAGGTACATCGACTTCCTCTACCAGGTCCTACAGAGCGACGAGCTGGACTCCAAGATGGCAAGCTGCAGCTATGTGGCCCACGAGCGGCTCAGCTACGCCTTCTCGGTGTGGAGGATGGAGGGCGCCTGGTCCATGTCCGCATCCCACTAGCAGGCGGCGTCCCCCACCCGCATCCCCCCGGCAGGAGCCCTAGGTAAGGCAGGGACCCCGAAAATGGGGGGATTAAAGGGGGTGACTGCGCCGTGGGCCGGCCACGCGTGGCGAGATCTTGAACCTCCTCTCCTGGCTTCCAGGCCGGCTGCAAGCAGGGCCGCTGGAGCCGCGGAGACGCCCCCTGCACCCCCCCCAAGTCCCCCCACCCACCCGCCTCCCGTCCCCGGGGGCGCTCCGCGGGGCCCACGCGTGTCGGGGCGCTGCCGGCGGGGGTGGACTGCGGTCGCGGGTGTGGGGCCGGATGGGGCCGGCCTGGAGAGGTCCCTTCCTCACCAACCGCTGCGAACGGAGCCGGCGGGGCTTGCCGGGCCGCTTGTCGGCCCGTGTTTCGAAGGGAATCCGCGGCCCGGCTCCCCCGGAGTGTCTGCCCGGCGGGGACACCCGCTTCGCCCTCCTTCTGCCGAGCACAGAGCGAGTGTTCACGGAGCCAGGCCGGCGGAGGTACTGCTGGGTCTATCTTGCATGTCAGTAACGAGTTTTCCGCCCTCTCTGGGTTTTTGCAGATGACATTGTTCCCACAGAAGGAGAAAATGGACAATCTAGAGACTCTGAAGTTGGATACCTTTTTTGTTGTTGTTGTTGTTCTTGTCTAAAAAAAATAATAATTGTACCAAGGATTTCTTGGAAATTAGAAGAGCAATATCCAAATTGAAAGCAGGGCGTGGGGAGCACTTAAGGAAAGAGAAAGAGACAAGGGCTTTGGACAGTGACTGCACGTTGGGCGTCGGTACAATCCACACATCTCTGCATTCTGATATAAGTCTGACTCGTTCGATTTTATTTTATTTTTTAATTTTGACGAAGAATGTTGGAATTTATCTTTTTTATTTTTTTTTTTATTTTTTTTTTTTGCATGCATTCCCAAGAGGTCGTGCCTATGAGCCACTGATGAAAGGAAATACATTATTGTGGACTTTCTTCATTCTTGAATGAAACCAACCAACCAAAAATATCCCTGTAGAGATGAAAATTTTTTTTTTTTTTTTTTTTTTTTTTTTAGGGGGGAATAAGCTGGGCTCAAGCTGTTATATACCCGGTTCCTAACTTTTTTATTATTATTATTTTTCCTCTGAGAAAAAAATAAACATTTTATTTATTTATTGATGACCCATGTTAAAATGCAAATAGATCCGGTGTCTAAATGCATTCCTATTTTTATGATTGTTTTGTAAATATCATTGTATATTATTTTTCTGCAATAAATAAATATGATTGAAATTTTAATAACCTTAAAGTTTGGTCTCTCTGAGAACTCGAGGTTGGAACTGGAGATAAATACCTGCTTGTTGAGCTGTAAAGACACCCAAGAGAGAGGGGGCACTAGTACAAACAAACCAGGCGAAAAACGCAAATAAACGCGCTACTGACAGACACAGGCACGTTATTTATTGAGACAGCTTTATTATTCTGCGCTGAGGCTCGCTGGACTTGGGGGCACGGTGTCCTCCCTCCTCTGTCCCTCTCTCCTGGCTGTCTGTCTGTCTCTCCTGGCTGTCTGTCCCTCTCGCCCTATACCCTCCACCCCCAGTGCTGAGGGAGCCGAGCTCCCCGGCCCCCGGCGTTTTTGCTGATAACCCTTAAGAAGAGGCATCAGTTTTAAACAGGGATTCGGACAGCCACAGGCAAAGAGAGAGAAAGCGAGTCTGAAACAGGGAAGTGTCTAGCGAGTGGGGTTTTCCGGTGGAAGTGATGTTTGACTGCTCTGCTCTCCAGGGTTTTATATAATATATAGACCAGAGATCGCATTTGCCTTGTGCGATGCACGGAGGACACGCTAACCCGCCCTCTTCTCCTTTTCTACACGCAGGGCGCATGTTGCCTCTCTTTCTTCTCACCATACCTTCCTCAGGGTCCCAGCATGCGGCGAGACCCCCGTTGTAAGAGAGAGGAAACCCCCAGATCTGAGGGCTCGGGAGGAAGGTGAAAAGGGAAGTTGCTCTAACCAAAAAATAAAATAAAATAAAATAAAATCCCACCCCTGACCTTTAAACAGGACAGCTGATTCAGTTTCTGCTGTCGCTTGCTCATCCCTTCGCTTCGTAGCCTCTCCATGCCGGCTCCCCTTGCCTCCTGCCCCTCCGCGCCTGCGGAGGCTCCGTGGGTGCGCAGGGGCGCCCGGCCCCGGGGCTGAGCAGAGTCCCGGCGGTGCCAGGGCCTCTGCCGCCGGGCTTCAGCCAGTGTCTAGGGTAAATAGGATGGGGTGTTTTTGCAAAACAGAGCCTGTTTGCATAGCCCAGGTTGAGTTGACTTTATTGCCTGCGTGTTTTTGTTTCCATATCCCCATATTACCGCCTATTGCTGACATAACGGTATTATGAATTTAATATCGTGCATATTTTAGGCCAGTGCGCAATGTTTACAGTAGAGAGCCCGCAGCGCTTGTTTGCACTGCCGGATTAGCGAGGACTTGGAAATTGGATGGGGACCCTGGTGGTCGCGGCCCTCCACACCAGAGAGGAAGGGAAGCGGGGCGAGCCCCCGGGGGGGCGCTGCCCTCCCCGCCGCCCCCGGCCCCCGCTGCCCCTCGCTCAGCGCCTCCCGAAAAACCCCGCTGAGCTGCGCCCCGGCTGCCGAACAGGAGGTAATGCCTTGTCCGCGGGAATCTGACTGCAGCAAGAGCAAGGGGCAAGGGGAGCCGACTCTGGGTTTAGGGGCTGCTAAGGTGTGGGCTGGTTTCCCTTGTTCCTTTTGGGGAGACAAATCGCACCGGGGAAAGCGAGGGGTGGCTGCACGGTTTGGAGGGAAAGACGTCGGGGAAGAAACGAGCTGAGCTGCTTGATGTTGAGGGGAAGTCGCGTTTTGGGGATGGGGATACCTGCGAAATATAACCGAGGAATCAAGTGCGTTTTAAAAGCCACGGGCCAAGCTCTGCTCACCCTTCGAAGCGGGCCGAGAAATCCGGAGCAACTCCGCATGGTGAACTCAAACCCGATTGACTCTGTCGCAACCAGCGCTTCTGGCCCAGCCTGTGCTCGCCCTCACCGGCCAGCTGAAACACCCGGGTGAGAAAAAGGCCCAACTCCTGCCCGTGGGGCCCATGCGGGTCTCTCCGCACCATCACTGGGTCCCCCCAGCCGGGTCCCTGCGGGCTCCAGAGCCCTCCCTGAGCAGCCCCGCCGCTGCTTTCCTTTCCCGGCTGCGAAACGCTACCTCGGCTTCATTAAAAAATCATAAAGAGGAGATAATCCTGATTTAAAAATACAAATGTGACCTTTCCTGCGTTGGGACTGGGCACTGCAGAGGCCCGGTGCTCCCAGGGTTTAAGCCAAAAGCGATTAAGTCAGAGTCGGGTTTACCGAAGGGAAAAAAAAAATATATCTATATGTATATTAATTTGTCTTCTGGGAATTTGAAACCCTCGTGCAATCAGAAAACTAACTCTGCCCGTGGAAGCCCTGATTGATTTTACTTCTTCCTCCGAGGCATCAGCCCTACCTGGTTCCTCGCGACTAATGAAACCCCCTCGGAGAAGAAATACGGGTCCAGGCAGCTCTCTCGCTGCCCCAACACGGCCCCGGCCGCTCCACCGAAGCCGGCGGAGCCCAACCGCGGACCTTGCGCGGGCGCGGAGCCCGGCAGAACCCCGCGGAAGCGGGGCCGCGGCGGGTGCTGGGCGCTGCGCATCCTGCGGGGCGGCGGGCGGGGGGCGCCGGCCGCGGGCCCTCGCACATTCCTCGGTTTGGCAGGGGCCGCCCCGCTGCTTTCTCCAGGCCGGTATCGGGTTCCTCCCAGGCGTATGATTTCACTTGAAGTCCTGCCCAGGAGCCCTTCAAAGTGCGCGCTTGTCCCCCTCTCGCATGATGTCAGGCGGTTTGCCCTGCATCTGTAATTTTAAGCAAAACAAACAAAACGCGCGGTGGGGAAGGTAGGGGAGCGGGGGGGATGGGGGGGGCACGAAAATAACGGAAACGCCAGGGGAAGAGCCGGGGGAGAGGGGCTCACCTGCGGCGGGCACCTGCCACCTGCGGCCGGCCACGGCGGGGTCGGCGCCCCCGGGAGCGGCTGTCGGGGAAGGGGCTCCTCTACCAGAGTAGAACCCATCAGAAGCCCCCTGTTTGGCTCCCCCCGGCTCGGGGGCTACCTCTGCCCTGCTCACACGGCGCTGCCTTCACCTGCCCCGCCGAAAATTGGCATCTTCGGGTGCTGGAGAGGGAGAGCCCGGGCCTCCCCACCGGGGGATCCGGGTGGCTAAGGCGCAAAACGAGGCGCAGGCACCCGTACGCCACCGGGACTTGTTTTATTTGCTGCACAACATAACCTGCCCGCAGTAAACATGGCACAGGATGTATTTTACATTAACTTCTGCACCAACTTCTTTCGGCTTCAGTCCACTTAATGTTCTTGGCAAATCAAAGCACGTGTCCTTTGAAGAAGGTGTGTAATTGGAGTTTAAGGCATGTATGGAATTCCCAGATGTCTATAAAATAAGAAGGAGCATTTGGCAGGTCACTTGAAGGTGGAGCAGGTTAAAATCACTTGTACAAAAGTCCCCCTTTTCTTTTTTTTTTTTTTTTAAAAAAAAAAAAAAAGAGCAAAGAGCCGGCCATTTATAAAGTGATAAAGATTGCGGGCTTTACAGAGCGGGGACAATAAAGCTCCGGAAACATAACGATAATGATAACACCCGTCCAAAAACGTAAAGCAAAACGCAAAACAAAAAGCATAACAAAACAAAATATTAAGGTCGAGAGGAACGCCGCCGTCCTCCCAGCAATTCCCGTTCTCAGCCCGCTTAGGAGCCTCCAGCCCCTGTTATTTAGGTAGCCTTCTTGCCAGGGGTAGCCGCTACATCCCCGCTACTTTCACAAGGAGGTGGCATTAAATTTACAGGAACTTTAGGAAAATTCTCTTGTGCCCTGTATGGACACGGGCAACAGAGGACGCGTTTCACTCCAAAATTATCCTGACACGGAAACCAACTCGACTTTAATGATAACGGTAGCAGTTAATAAGGGCTGAAATAATAACGGAATCGGGTTTGGACAATTAGGGTCTCACCATCTAACTTTACCAGTGTTCGTGCAAAGTCTCAGCTCGAGCAAGATCGAGGCTTTACTTGGGGGCTGCTGCAAATCCTGCCCGCTGCAATGCAGAAATCCCGACGCGCAATGCTGCGGTGGGACAGACCGACTGTGCCCTACAAATGCGGGGAAACCTGGAGCTGGGACGGGGAGGTGGGGGGGTTACGATGCTCTCAGGAAGGGTCGGGGTCGCCCCATCACGTTTGGGGTTGCTTTGTTCTGTTTGGGACGAACGAGGCAGAGTCCTCCTGACAAGCAGTCAAAAGAGGAGCAATCCACACCGCCGCAGCCGTGGGGGAAAGGGGAGCTTCAGAGGGGAAGGGATTTTGACATGTGAAAAGTTAAGCAGGTACCTGAAGGAGGTTTATTTTGACCAGATGTTAGAGCTTTTATGAAAATGTCACGTGAAGGGAACAGATGTACAACTTGCAAATGGAGCCCCGCCTTGTAAATACTGGGAAGAGAAGGGCTCTCAGAAAATCAAGCATAAATCTCTCATGCCATTTTATATATGTGTGTATTTATGCATATATGCAGAGTATGTGGGTTCTGTTTAGACCGACATTTTTAATTGTTTGTTTGTTTGGTGAAAAGGAAACAGTCCTTCCTTCCTTCCTTCCTTCCTTCCTTCCTTCCTTCCTTCCTTCCTCCTTCCTTCGCTTTCCTTCCTTCCCTCTTTCTTTCTTTCTTTTCCTTTCTTTCTTTCTTTCTTTTCTTCTCTTTCTATTCTTTCTTTTTCTTTTCTTTCTTTCTTTCTTCTTATCTTTCTTTTCTTTCTTTTTTCTTTCCTTTCTTTTTCTGTTTCTTCTTTCTTTCTTTTTTC